TATTTATGTTCACTATATATATATATATATAGTCACCTTTTATTTATGTTAAAAAAGGTGACGAGATATGTGCAGTTAATGCATGTATACAGGTAGAAACTAGGGTGAGAAAAAAATACAATCAAAATGACAGATTATACACAATAATCAATAAAGGATAAACAATATAAAAACTGAGAATAGAGACTAAAGTGAGGGCTTTAACATTTACTGTAACATGGAGATGTTTCTAAGAGCTGCAGAATTGTTCTTGAATATTAAACAGATTTAAATTTATGTTGAATATATGTGCAATATAAATAATACATGTATGATGTTCACCATGTATATATTGAGGGTGTTTCTCTTTTCTCTGTCTTCCTGATGATGGTGGTGATGATGATGATGATGGTGGTGATGATAGTGCTTCAAGATCAAAGTCACTTGTTTTATTTTCTTCACATGCTCAGAGGACCAGGAGCTTTCAACCACATCTCATGGTCTTCATCAGCTTTCAGAGGTTCTTCAGTTTCCCTCGTGTGTTTTAACGTCTCCTCTCTACGGTCATCTTTACTCCTCTCATTCTCCTTCCTCTCTGTGTTATTAATAATATATATAAACTATACAGTAATGATACTTATTGCACACACACACACACACACACACACACACACACACACACACACACACACACACACACGATCTGATGGTCAAACCGTGTCTCTGAGTGTCTCTTGGCCTCCTTGGTGCTGTAATACCTCAGGGAGCTCCAGCAGAGGCCTCCACCTCCCCACTGCTGCTCCTCAGGGACACCACACCTCCTCTTCATCACCCTCCTCCTCCTCATCTCTCTGTCAGCTGATCATCCTCAGGTTTCTGTGTGTGTGTGTGTGTGTGTGTGTGTGTGTGTTGTCACCTGAGGCTGTAGTGTGAAAAACACACCTTCATTCACACTCCTGGGAGTTTGTTTACTTTCTCTTTTTGTGTTTCCTCCCTTTGTTCCTTTATTTCTTCGTTTCCTCTCTGTTTCCTTTTTTCCTTCCTTTTCTTGACTGACTGTTCCTACATTTCCTGTCATTACCTTCACTTTCCTTACTTACTTCCTAGCTACCTTTTCCTTTTCTTTACTCCCTTAATCCCCTCCTTTACTTCCCCTTCCTTTCTCCTTCCTCTCATTTACTTTCCCTCTTCTCTCTTTCCTTTCTTGAATTTCTTTCATTTACCTTTTCCTTATTTCTCTCCCTTTCTTGTATTTCCATCCTGACTTTCCGTTCTCCCTTTTCCTTGTTTTTTATTGTTTCCCTCCTTCCTTTTCTTCCCCCATTACTTCCCCTTCCCTCTCCCCCTTTTTCTTATTCCCTGTTATTTCTGTTCTTTACTTCCTTTGCTCTCTTCTCCTTCCTTTTCTTTCTCTTCCTCTTTTCCTCTCTTAATTTTCCACACCTCCCTTTCCTTTCCTTTTTTTGTTTCCTTTCCTTTTGTTCGTAACAATACTGGCTTTCTTTTCCTTGTCCTTCATTTTCCCTCTCTCCCTCCCATTAATTTCCTTAGTTTTCTTTCCCTCCTTTACTTCCCTTTTCTTAAATCCTTCCCTCCTCTCTTTTCCTTTCCTTCTTCCTTTTGTTTCCTTCCTTGTCCTGCTTTTCCGTGTCTCCCTCCCTCCTTTTAATTCCTCTCCTCCCCGTTCTGTCCCCCTTTAATTATTTCCTTTCTGCTTTCCAGATTCCCTCTTTTCTTTCCTTCTTTACTTTTCCTCATTCCTCCCATCATCCTTCCTTTTCCTTTAACATCTTCCCTCTCTTCCTCTTCCTCCTCCTCTGACCCTCTCATCATCCTCCTGTGTGGGTGTGTATTTATCTATTTATCAGTCCTGTTATTGTTATTAACAGCCATCGCTGCGGCGACCCGCTGCGCTGCCGGCGCTCAGATTGGAGGCTTCCTCTCCTGTGGGCTGATGGGAAAACAGCCCCGGGGCCTGTGTGTGTGTGTGTGTGTGTGGTCTGCAGCCTCGGTGTTAATGGCTTCCTGCTGATTCTTTTTCTCTTTTTTCCTCCCCTCGGGTTACAAACATTCATCCGTCCATCTCTCTGAATTCATGTCCATCCGCGGCCATTTTGGATCTGATCAGTATGTTCTCAGGTGTTACAGTGAAGTTGGAGCCCACAGAAAACACATGTCCCCAACCTGAGAGTGACTTTAGTATTAATGAGACTCAGGTTGCTGTTTTCTGAGCATCTGATTGTTACGTCTCCTCGTCTGCTCAGTTTTCATGCTTTAATGATGTCTCACAGTAAAAATATAAATTATTGAAAAGTTAAAACTCACAAGTGTGAAGAAGCTCCTCCAATTAAAAATTAGGTGAAGCTGTTTCTGTGTTTTGATTGGACAAAACAAAACATCCAATAATTTTGATTTGAAACTGGAGCTGAAACAATTAGCTCTATAATGAATTAGTTATGAACTATTCTGAAAATGGATTAAAAATGCTAAAATTTTACAGCTTCCAGCTTCTCAAATTTGAATATTTGCTGTTTTTCTAAATCATCTTTAATAGTAAATTGAATATATTTTATTTTTAGACTGTTGGTTGTGTCAATTTTGGCTTTGTAAAATTCGGATTATTTCTATCATTCTATGGATTCATGGAGAAAGAAATTAGCATGTTAATCGATGAAAAATAAATGAACTGGGGCATTTAAACTTCAGAAACACGTCAGAATAAAAAGTCTGTTTTTCTAAATTAACGATGAACTCTCTGTGTCTGTCAGGAGGTGCTGTTGAAGCGAGCAGCCGACCTGGTGGAGGCTCTTTATGGGATGCCACACAACAACCAGGTGAGTCAGTGGCTTCACTCTGACCTTTGACCTCCACTGAAATCTGCAGATTTAAACACACCCATGTTCTGCACTTTAAAAACAGACTTAGTGACTTTTTAATTAACTGTAATTATCTTTCCTAAACCTTCACTGTACTGTTGAAAGAAAAAGTGTAAAAAACATTTGTCACTGACCATAATCTGGTTTTATAGAATCCTCCAGTACTGATGTTTCAGTCTGGTGATGGTCGGGGATTTATACCCTCAAATTAGTCGTCTGCTTCCTCAAATGACTCAATTAATCCCCTGAAAGTCCTCCAGGAGTCGTGTCCTTCAGTCCGTGTGTGAGTGGGCAGTGTAGGAGAGGGTGGTGGTGTTTTACCTGCAGGGCTTTTACAACAATTTATTCAACTCTGTCAGGTGATTCAGTTCTTAGATTTAATGACACGGTGTGTTCACTGACTCATAGATGCTCAGAAAAAAACCAACTGCTGATATTTTTAAGGATCAGATCTCATCACTGTGTTGTCACTGAGTGAGGAGTGCCTGTAGTAGTGAGCGTTAAACACTGTCAGGATGGGATTTAAATCATCGTTTCTCCAGTTTTAGACAGAGTTCTTGAGCAGATGCTTCTGTTTAGACAACATTTAACAACTTTGGCTTCTTTTGTTAAATGAAAAAATATTGGAGTATCATAAAATACTAACTGTTCCTCCTCAGAGCCAGAGGAAAGAGTACTATCAAAATACTGTACTACTATTTCCCCTCATGTGTCAAAAGTGTTTTACCTTGAAAATAAATGTTGGAGAAGCAGGTTTAAGTTACAAACACCTCCCGACCCTCTACTGAAATATTAACAGAAAAACAGAATATTTATCTGGTGTTCAAGAATTACAAATGCAGTCCATCACTAATAACTGTGGACTCTTTTCTCTTCACTCTCCGTCTCCCCTCCCCCGCCTGCAGGAGATCATCCTGAAGCGAGCGGCCGACCTCACCGAGGCCCTCTACAGCGTCCCTCGCAGTCACAACCAGCTGCCGTCTCTTACCGGCTCGGCCGCTCACTCGGGGATGATGGGAGTCAACTCGTTCAGCAGTCAGCTTGCCGTCAACATCTCCGAGGCCTCTCAGGCCGACCAAGGTGAGAGCTCGCCGCTACCCAGACTCCCCTGGGCATGTGGGTCTGAGGGTTTAGAGCAGAATCAGAGTGAGGAGGCACCTCAGACACCAGGGGCCACAAACCAGGCAAAAAACTGTTTTTGGTCAAACTGTATCTGAGCTCTGAGGCTCTTCAGTAGAGTCCACTAGAGCTCAGGAGAGTCCAGTAGACTTCATTAGAGTTTAATCAAATTCAGTAGTGTCCAGGACTCAGGCAGACCTCAATGGAGTTCAGGAGAGTCCAACAGACTCCGATATAGTCTAACAGATTTCAGCTGAGTTCAAGACAGTCCAGTAGTCTCCCATACATATCAATAGAATTCTGTAGACAGCAGTAGAGTTCACCTGAGTCTGGCAGAGTTTGGTGTGGTCCAGTAGAGTCCACTTTACATCCGGAGAGTTCAGCAAAGTCCAGCAGACTTAATCAGAGTTCAGTGGAGTCCAGACCTGTCAAACGTTCAGTATCCTGCAGTCCAAGAGGAGTCAGCAGAGTAAACCTGAGTAGACTGCAATAGAGCTAGATAGGTTGGTCTAGTCCAGTAGAGAAGAGACCAGTAGACTCCCTGCAGCCGTCATGTGATCACTGTTTTATGGGTTAGACCGGGTCTTGCTGGTTCTGGTCTCTCTGCCGGTCCTGGTTCTGGTCTCAGCTGCTGTGTAGCGACGTCTCTGAGGGGCAGAAACACAACAAACAAACTGTCTCTGCAGTTTGAAAAGTGTCGATGTCAGCTTCACAAAATTAAAGATGTTTGTCATAAAGTTCAGAGCGAGCACGCACACACACACATGCACGCGCACACACACACACACACACACACACACACACTCACACTCATCTCCTTACAACAGCATTATTGTTTCCTGCATCAGGGTTATTTTATCTCCCTGACGCTTCATTTCTTTGTCTTTTTTTTTTTTTGTCCATTTCTTCTTCTCTGAATTTTGATGTTCATGTTTCTGTCTAATTTCTGGGTTTTTGGCTTTTCATTGTGTCAACTCAGATCACTTTTCTTCTTCTGTCTGACGTTATATTTTTCTCAATTTCAACAAATCTCACATGCAGACACAGTTTTATGTTTTAAAAAAGTCTCCTAAAAGTACTTCCCTAAAACAGCTGCTCACTGTACTTTTTTTCAAACAAACATTGTGTGTTTGTTGGGGACTATTTTCAGTGGCGGATTAATCCACATTTGGCACTCTAGTGAGTTGTTTGTGGCAGCAGGATGACTGTATGTAGGATTGAGTCAGAGTAAACTACAGTGTGTGTGTTCATGGTAATAAAGGAACACGTCAGTGTGTCTCACTGATGTGTTTTTAACAACAGTACAGCTCTGTGGCACACAGGAAGAAGATATATCAGGCTTTGATACACACGTTGACAAGAAGAAAAATGTCGAATATGAGCAGAGTATGAGAGCAAAGTTTCCTTTCAGCAGTCGGTTCTGCTTCTGTCACGGACGCTCAGGAAAACGTGCAGCAAACAGCTTGTGAACACGCGTCGACAGGAAGCAGATAGAGCTGCTTTTACTCCCCGGACACCCCCCTCCACCTTCACCCCCACCCTCCGCTAAACCTTCGTCTGCTTTTCACATCGGCTAGGCAGCGAACACCTTACAGGAATCTATGAGGTCATGGGAAACGAGGCTGCAGCCGCGCTGAAAATTCATAACTCGGTAGTTTATGTGCGTCGAGCTCTCTGGTCGGAAACATTACACCGAGGATCTGACCGCCCTCCGTCCTCCCCGCTGGTATGAAGTATGAAACGGCTCTTTGTGCCCCTCGCAATTATCCGCCGTGATTAAAACATTAATAAAAACAGCGGCTCCCAAGCCCAGGCCTTATCAGACGGACGAGGCGAGTAATTTACGGCGCTAATTCAGAGCAGCTCGGCCTGCTCAGCATCATGTCATCCTCCTGCTTCGGTTACTTCCTCTGGAGTTTGTCTTGGTTCTGCTGCTTCACACTGACAGCTGACGGGTGGAGGTGGTAGAGAGCAGAGTCTGATGCCCCCAACCATCTATTCACATATCAGAATGTAAAACAAACAGAGCTGGACACTGCTGTGAATCCTGTGACAGGGAAATCTGAGTTATGAGTCTGTGGTAAAATATTCTGGACTAGAGTTTACTTGTTTTCTCTGGAGCTTGACTTTATCTTACAGCCTTCTTCAGTTAGTGGAACTTGCTCAGGGGACATAGCATGCTTTGGTCACAAGATGGTGGTCATGAAGGGAGGGGGAAGCTGCACACCTGAAAGAGTCCCTTCACTTCACTTCACTGAATGGAGCAGTGGGATGTGATTAGAAGCTGTGTGCCACAGATTAGTGTCCCAAGGGTCAAAATTTAACCTCCACATTTATGTTTTAAGATCAAAAAACAAACAGACTTTTCCAGTTTGGATCAACTTGTATAACTTTAACACAAACTAACAAACTGCTGCTGTGATTTTAAGAACAAACGGTTAATAAACACACACACAAATAAATAAGCTATTTGTGTCCGACAGAGACATCAGAGGAACAAACACACTGACGTCATCGGACATGCGGCCAGATTTTCTGCTAACAAACATCAATTATATTTTATGAGAACTCCTACAACTGTTTTACCACAAAAGAAAACATCTTTATATGATGGACTCAAAAAAAAAAAAAAGCAACAGTTTGAGAGAGAAGTGTGTGGCCCTCACCAAAGGAAAAATAATTGGGGATGTTTTCTTTTTAAGTACGACTTTCGGATCTTGTAATCGTGAGTTAGTGCGTCACAGTTATGTTATGACATCTGAATCTCATAATTAGTATTTCCGCATCTCGTAATTCAAGTCATGTCCATTTTATTTATACAACCTAAAATCATACTGGGCACAAGAGCAAGTACAAAGCATCCTTAATCTTCTGCTAAAGACCATAAATTACCTTGAAATATGTTTAAAGATGTCATCTCTCTGTATCTTGGATATAGAACTTAAAGAACAATATAGAAAACCAGTAAGACAATGTAAAGTAAATGAGAAAATTAACAATAAAAGTTCGTAGGTTTGGTGATCATGAAATTATTAGTCATATTTACTGGATAACACCTCCAAAGTTTCACAGTTTCACAGCTGCAGTCTGCATGTTTTCAGCCCACAACATCAGCTGTGGTGTTTGTTTGTGACTCGATGACACTTGACTGAAAACTCAGAGCTGAAAACCTGTAAATGATTTGATTATTGTCAGGAGGTTTCGTCTTCACAGTCGTTAAAGTCCGGTTTCTAATTAAAACCGCGTTGAACAAACCGTCCACCTGCGGGGAGTTCTTCAGTGTTTGACGGTTTACTCAGCGAAACCAAACTGTCAGTCAACCAGTTAATCAGCGGCAAACCCTAACTGCTCCTAAAGCGAGCCTCTGCTGCCAACACATGTTTCCATTTGAGTCGTCAGTGTGAGGTCGAAGGATGTGATCTGCTTCCCACGCTGCTGTGGACGAGGACGGGCAGGGAGCGGGAACGCCGCAGAACAAACAGTGTACACTGGGTTCCATTTGTTACACATGTATTTTCTTATGTTATTAAAGAACAATCCTGACATTTAGTGTTGAGCTGTGACGTGCTGCAGCTCGCGGCCGCTCCCTGCACTGTTTTCTTCGACATGTGTTTCCCATCGCCGGCTCTCCTCACCCTCCTCGTCCCCGGGCAGCGCTCCATCAGCCGCTCCTGCTGGGAATTGCGTTGGCCCGAACCAGGAAGTGGGGGAAAGTGGACGAGGGTGGAGGATGGAGGGGGGGGTGCTGTAATGTGCTACTTGGCACACTGTTGGCTCTGCTCACTGAGCTCGGCCCGAGGTCGGTGGGAACTAGGGAGCCTCTTGAGGGGGTTAAAGGTCAGGATGAGTGCTGCAGGGAACATTGGTATTCAATGCATCTTGGATGAGGGTCAATCAGCGGGAGCGCAGGGGGGAGAGGAGGAGGGGATGTTAAGGTAAGTACAGCGCAGCAGCGAGGTGAGAGATGAAGGGCAGACTTTGCCTGGGGGGGAGGCGAGCTGTTGGATAACAGGAGAGCAGCAGTGACAGGCGTGATGATGTCATCGCTGAGGTCACAGCGAGGAGGTCAATGAGATTAAGAGGAGACACTCCTGCAGTGTTACAACACTTCACTCATTTTTGAGCAAATACACACAAGTTCATCAAGAGTGCACTGGATTCCTTATAACCAAACTCTGACCCAGTACCTGAGTCCTTCATTAGCTCTGATCACACAGTGCCTCATCATCATCATCATCATCATCATTATCAACTTTTTGTGTCTGAGCTGTGTCACATGATGGTTAGTTGGTCAAGCTTCATGCTGCTGTTTGGATCAGCTCTGGTCATTCTTATGTGTTTTTTCAGATCTGGTCTCTCTTTTTTAAAATTTATAAATTAATGCATTGGGTTTGGTTCTCCAGGTCTGATTTGGATCAGGTTCCGAAATTTTCTTGAGGTGGAAAAGAGCTGCTGGTTACTGTGACTGTCCCTGTCAAGGTGTTTAATTATCAAGTCATCGCAACAATAACAACAACAATACAACTACAGCATTAAGATACAACAAGATTTCATAATGTTAGATCAAGTGTTTGAGTTCATGTGTGATGGGGACATGATTGAGTTGATTTTAGTCTAAAACGTTCACGGCCAGTTTTACGTAGTGTATCTCAGGGTCCGTTAAACTCACCTGACTCAGGATGCAGCAGGTTTATAAAGACAGGAAGAAGAACTGATCCTCTCTGACAGTGACGTGTTCCCTCCACGCAGGTTATTCCCGTAACTCGAACAGCGTGTCTCCTCGCGGCTACGTGCCGAGCTCCACGCCTCAGCAGTCCAACTACAACACCATCACATCCACCATGAACGGATACGGAGCGGGGATGACCAACCTGGGCGTACCTGGATCCCCCAGCTTCCTCAACGGCTCCACCAACTCTGCTTACGCAAGTAAGTCCATTAAAACATTACATATAAACCAAACCTCATCCATCTGAGAGGCAGTTAGCAGGACGGATCCTTTGACTGTCTGAGAGCGGCTGAAAGTGCAATCCAAAACACACTTCGCTGTTCATCATTACGGGGAACAACGTGATACTTTGAATTAGCTAAAGGTTAAATCTTAAGAACATGAATCTGCTGTCACAGGTGAAACATTTGGAACAGTTTAAATGTTTCAAAGTGTAAATTATTATGTGAAGAAAGTCACAGCTGAAGTTAAAGCGCTGAAGAAATTGAAGTGTCAGTCAAAGCACCTAAATTGTTTGAAATATAAGTCGACGTTTGAGCATTGAAAGGAGTGAAGGTGTCATTTCAAGTGTAATCTTTAAAGTGTCTGTTGAAGTAAATGCAATTAAAGCAGTTGATGTGTCAGTCAAAGGTAAATCTACACATTTAGCTGAAGTTTCAGATGATGTGTAAGCACTGAAATGGTTTCAGGTGTCAGTGTAAACACTGAAAGGAGCTGAGGTGTCAGTAAAAGTGTTTGAAGTCAGTTGAAGTGTGCAAGGTTTTTTAAGGCAGTTGATGTGTCAGTTGAAGGTTACCTCTCACATTTAGCTGAAGTTTAAGGTGATGTGTGAGCACTGAAAGGAGTTGAGGTGTCAGTAGTATCAGTGGAAGTGTTTTTGTGTGAAAGTATAAGTCATGAGAGCAGCTCATGTGTTAATTGGAGACTGCAACATGCTGAAGTTTCAAATGAAGGTGCTGAAAGCAGTCAAACTGTTCTTTCTTAACCCCGAAGCTACGGGGGTGCAGTGAGGTAAAGTGTGTTTACTAAAACAGTTGAAATGTCAGTCGGATGCTGCATTTTTTATATATTTGATATGAGCCTTTGTGCTTTTAGATTTGGTGTATTTGGCTGAAAGCTATTGAAGCGATGAGCTTTGTAGAACTATTTGATCGTGGAATAATTAAACATGATTATGGATTAGTTGGTACCAAAAAGTGCTGAGGTTTGATTCCTAGCCCTACCTGTAAGACAGGGTAAGATAATTGAAAGCCGATAAATCGTCCAGTATCAGCTCACTGCAGATACATTGGTATTATTGTGTATGTTGATCATTCTAAAGTTTGTGAGAGCAGTGACAAGTTTGTTTTCCAACTTTAAAATGTCCTGCTCTGCACATTTCTTGGTCGTGATTGTCACAAATTAAAGGTAACCTCAGCAAAACTGTTTATGTTATGAGTTGTGTGAGTTGTGTTAAAAAAAAATTAAAGGGTAAGTTTGTTATTTTCCGACCTGGACCCCAGTTTCCCGTGTGTTTGTGTCTAATGGAAACAACAGTTTTTGAAGCTGGTCCAGTATTTAGTGAGACCATTGCAGACAGCACCTACAAAGAAGGTTGCATCGTGATCCTTCGGAACAATTATCCACTGTCAATTTAGGTTGACTAAAAGTGTTTTTTTGCCACTGACAGGCTCAGATTACTATCAGAAGTGTCTGACAACATTATGGAAAGGATCCCTACAGAGACATCCCCAACATAGCCATCACCAAACCCACCAGACTCCATTTATACAAACAGTGATTTTAGTGTGTATAGAGGCAGCATGTTTTCACATCTACCTGGGTGAATTAAGGGTTTATTTCAAACAAAGCAGATTTGGTGATTGTTGGAACAGTGGAAAGACAAAGCAAGACAGAATTAATGAGTTTCATTTTGTTTCTGACAGCTTTGAATGAAGTGTGTTTTACAATGAAATTGCTGCTTATTTAAATGGAGTCTGGTTGGTTTGGTGATGGTGATTTCAGGGCTGTTTCCGATGAAACAAAATGGGTCATACTCTTTGACAAAAGGTCTTTCTCTGTAGGGATCCTTTCATAATGTTGTCAGACACTTGTCCACCTATAATATAATAATAATAATCTGAGCCTGTCAGTGGCAAAAACTTTCAGTGGACGTACATTGATGGTACTCATGCCCCGAGTGGATACACTGCAGCCTGTCCTCAGCACACTCTATCAATACTGGACCAGTTTCAAAATACGCTGTTCCCCTCAGTCACTTGAACACAAAAACATGGGAAAAAGAGTCACGGTTGAAAAATACTGGACTAAGATTGGCAGATATACCATCATTAGATTCTTTAAAGCTCAACTATTATTATCAGTATCAGCCATAAACATCCTGCCGTGGTCGGGCTGCAGGCTAAAACCAGGATATAGTGATACTGACAACTTGAATATAAGATAAGCTGGAACTGAAGTACTTGTTATATGTTTACTAGATGCAGAGTAGTTGTTGTTTCTTTCTGTTGAGGTTCACGGACCGATGCAGGTGATGAGCAGTCACGGTTGTGGTGCACAGAATAATGAAAGTGAATAAAAGTGAAGCGTTTCCCGCTGCAGGAGACGAGTGGATGCTTCAGTAGTTTTCAGTCAGCCCTGTTGTTCCTCTGAAACTTTCCTCTGATTAACACGCCTGGAGTCGGAGCTGCTGCTTGGAAGGCGCAGGTGTGTTTTGGAGACCGGTAAAGTCTAAACTCGCCCGCAGGGAGCGCTCCATTGTTTTGGCTTCTGTATCAAAGAGCTCAGCAAGTCTCAGCGAGACTCGTTTAGAAGGTAGTGAGCTCAAACTCTGTGCCAGGTGATGTTGTCTTCCCTGGCGACCAAACAAAAGGTGGGCTCACATCTCGCCTGGCTGAGCTACAGTTCCCTCCGCCGAGGGTCTGAATGTGTGTGCGTGTGTGTTTGTATGTGTGTGTCGACCGAACACCGCCACGCATTGTTCACCTCCTCCTTCCTCTGACTGTCCCCCTGTCCATCCTCACCCCCTCCCCCTCCTCCCCGACTAACCCCACTAACATCCTCACCGCATCCTTCATGCATTCATGCTTTGGGCCGAATCCATTAATATCAGCTGGAAAAAGAAGCAGAAAAACAACAAGAAGGAGCCAAGAAAGAGAGGAAATGTGAGAGGAAGAAGCAGCGATCCAGGACACACTGATAGTTGTTGGCATGAAGCGATAAATCACATTTACATTCCCCCGTTTCATTTTACAGTTCCATTTTCAAATGCTGTCCTTGAATCATTTACAGACTCACTGTGGTCCATAAACTCTGTGGAAGCTCTTAAAGGGACAGTCCGACATTTTCTGAAGTCCTACTCTTCTCTTTCTCTCAGACAGTGAGACCTTCAGATGTCAGTCTCTTGTCTGTGTGTTCAGTAACAAGCTGGAGTCTGGATGGAGTTAGCTTAGCTTAGCTTAGCTTAGCATAGAGACTGGAAGCAGCTAGACTGAGCTTAACCAAACTGGATATACACCTACCACCTATTTATTAGTTTTAGTCCAAGTTGGAAAGTACAAAGAATATAATTAGATTTTTAATTTCAAGGTCAGTTTAAAAACTCTCAGCTCAAAGTCTGTTTAGTAGCTGTTTGGTGGCTTTCAGTCATATCACATGATCTTCATCAGCCCAGTTGTTTTAAAAAAATTAAATTTGAACTTGATCTTTATTTCTGTGACAACTGGGCAAACTCTTTTTGCTGAGAAAGATTATGGGAAGTAATTAAAAGCTTCAGCTACCGAAAGGATCATTTAACCGAATCAAATGGTAAACAGTTTGCATGTACACAGCACATTTCTAGTCTTAGCGACCACTCAGAGCACTTTACAACACAAACACCATTCACTCATTCACACACACTCCTGCTGAAGAAATCAGACTCTGAGTTGATCTCACTTTAAAGAATCCAGGACACTGATAACCTTGAAAAAGGTCAGTAAATGTATTTTAAGACTAATAGTCAAATTAACTTACTCTCTGTTTCCTAGATTTTTTTAAAAGTGAGATGAACTTGTCAGATTGTCAGAAGCATCTTCCTCCTGAGCCATGATGCCCCAAAAAGGAAAAGAAAGAAAAATCAAAATATGTAAAAACGTTAAGTGGAGCGTCTGGAATTTATAAACGTATCATATGATCTTCATCAGCAGGAGAAGTAGGTGTGAATATTTGCCTCCTCAAAAAGAATATTGTTTTCATGACAGCTGATTTGCTGATGTAAAGAATCAAAACCTCTCTTTGTTTATTAACCAACCTACCTGAGCGTTTAATTTAATAAATAAAATATGACAAATCTGAAGTATTTAAGAGAGTTTATTTTGGCCACTTTGCCTTTTCTGTAAACGTTTTAATTATTTAAATTTTCCCTATTTCACTTTTAAGTTAAATATTCAGTTACATCAGTGAACAAAGCAATCTTTTTTTTTTAATTTTGTCTCAGCCCTGTGTCAAATGTCCTCTTTAGTTTTTATCATATTTAATCACCTCATCCTGCTCTTTTTTTTTTTTTTTCAAGTCAGGTTCAAGTTGATGAAAAGTCTGGGTATGTTAATCTCATCTTAGTTTTTTAGTTAAATTAATTTCATTCTAGTTGATGAAAATTTCTGATATGTCCATTATTTAGTCAAACTTATTCCATGTAAGATTTTCTCTTATCATTATCTGATGAAAAACACAGGTTAGACATTGACATCCATCGGCATATAAGACACTTGCGACGCTGACTGACATGCAGTGCACACCCACAAACACACACACACACACACACACACTTTAGTGAATTATCAACATGTGCATTTACCAACACACACACTCTGTCGCTTCTGTCTCTCACACACACTCACATGCTGTATTCGTCGAACAGTCTATAATATTTCATCTTCTCTTTTTAAATCAACAACGAAAGAGATTTCAGTAGTTTTTTAAAAGTAAACATGAAGGCATGCACTTTATTTTGTCAGTCAGCTCCTCATCGTCTCATCTTAGCTCTGGAAAAAAGGTCACTGACAAACATAAGTTATTTTTGTTAACAAAATTAACAGCACTAAAAAAATGCTGAAAAAATGTTAAAGATGTTTATCATGTAACTCCACCTAAAACCAAAAATTGTTGCTTTTACACTTCTTTTTTGGGAGATAAATGTTTATCAGTGAGTTTCAGAGGTGCTGGTAGATTTCTGAACTGTGGATGAGGCCGTGCTAGCTGTTTCCCCTGCTTTCAGTCATTATGCTAAGCTAAGCTAACCCCATCCTGACTCCAGCTCTGCACAGAACACAGACAAGATGCTGACATGTGAACGTCTCGCTGTCTGAGAGAAAGAGAGGATGAGAATTTCAGAAAATGTCGGACTGTCCCTTTAATCAGAATCAGAATCAGTTGTAGAACAAAAATAAACTGTTTTATAGCCACAAAAGACTGAAGTGGTGGGTTTATTAGGAAACTAACATTGTAATCTCACACACACACACACACACACACACACACCTGTACAGTCTGTGTGGATGACGCTGCTGCCGCTCTCAGGTTGGATCAGGTTGGGTTTTCCTTTTCACCAAATCAAAGTCCTTCAAGTTATGGATCAACTTTGCCAGATGTGCAGCTGTTTGTGTTCGGAGCATGTTTGTTCCTCCAGACCTCTCGGCCCGATCTGAGGCAGGGACCCATCCCCCTCCTCCTCATCCTCCTCTTCATCCTCCTCCTCCTTCTGCATGATCCATCCCCATCAGATCACTCACCTCCTCTGTCCGTCTGCCTGCTCGTTACCGTCACCTCCTCCTGGTGGACCCCCCCTCCCTCCTCCTTCCTCACCTCCTCCTCCTCTCTCTTCCTCTGCTCCCATAGGCCCTTATTCATTCTCTCCTGTCCATATGGTTTCTGCAGTCAAACAGAAGAGCGCCTTCGCCCCTGTCGTGCGGCCACAGACCTCCCCGCCCCCCACCTGCACCACCACCAATGGCAGCAACCTCCAGGGTGAGCATCCCACCCCCCCTCCCGCCTGTCAGCACCCCCCGTCCTCTGCTGTCCACCTGTCCATGTCCCACCTGGACACACAGACAGACAGACGTCACTGTAATGATAACAACTCTGTATTTGTTACATGTGAAGACCTGGTTTTAAACACTCAGAGGTCAAAGTTGATCCATAACTTCTGGCACACGATATAAAAACTGCTCTTTATTCATCTTATGGAGTAACGTTGGTTCATCACTGATGACGACAAACATCCAATAATTCAACCTGTTTCAAACACAAAGCAAAATGTTTCAGGAGTTTTCTCAAGTCAGGTGATTTTTCATGATAAAGTGGAGCAATCTGCAAAAAACAGGTATAAGATATTCTCACTTCTTTTAATAAATAAATAAATAAATATTACTGCGGGGAAAAGACATTAAAAACTGATGGAAAGTTGTATCAATTGGCCTGTAAGCCATCAAGTAAAGCACAGACACACATGTATGATATTTTATTGTTGTAACTTTGCAGGAGGCTGGTTTCTTTGTAACTTCTGGCACTTTTTGTGAAGTTTAAGAGCTTTTAATTCAAGTTTAACACTCCTGAAGTATCCATATCATCATGTGAATTCAGCCTGTTGTTGAACCTTGCACGTCTTATTTGTCTTGACAATTAAACAGACAAAAAAAAAATTATTTCGAAATGTTCCTAAAGCTGCTTTCACACCGCCACGCGGCAACTGCCCTGACAACGCCCAACCTGCAAGGGTGTTTCCCAGAAAAGCAAAGTGTTTTCAAAAGTGGCTGCTGGTTCATGGCTGCGATCACAGGCAGGTGCTTCAGTGAACACAGGCAGAAGTGCAAGCTAGCTTCTAGCTGCATTCTGTAGCAAGACAACGGAAATCACTGAAATTACCAGTGGTTTCTACATATTTGGACAATTTACAATTCATTGGAAGTTTGACAGACATGTTATCACAGGCCCAGTTTATCTCCAGGTTGTCGTTATAAGTTGCTGACGCCGTAACTCTGGGTATCCCGACACCAACATAATCAGCTCCTCCGTCTTGATTTGTTTTTGCTTCAATAATGCCCACTATTTGATCGGCCAAAGTCAGGTGTCAACTGCCAGAAATTCCAGACAGAACAAAATCTGTGCACGTTTACATGGGCAGCAACATGTATTACTTGTTGGAAACCACTTCCTCTCATCGAAATGACTTGAGTCAGTGAGTTAACACGCAGTGGTGTGTAAGCAGCTCAAAAAAAGTTTTCACAAAGTCACATTTTTCGTGATTCTATAGAGTGGTTGTTTGTCTATTTCCAGTTTCTGAAAGTAACACTTAAATGATTTTCAACCAGGTCTGTGTCACTGCGGTGTGGTGAGTGTGTGCAGATGAATGGAGTCTGGCCTCCACCCTGTGCCGCCAGCTCCTGGAGCTGAAAACACGTCATCCATGACATGAAATAACAGGTTTTATGTCATTCTGTGGATTTTTGCTTAAGGCGTGGGCGTGAGTTCCAGCGCTGGTGGCACAGAAGAAAGCCAAGCTCCCCACAACACGGTGACACAGACGTGGTTTAAAATCAGATTATCCCTTTTACCTCGAGGCTGGGACCCCACATCAATCAAGAGATAGATTTTAATATTTACATTTTGATGTTTGATGATAAAAAAGGCAAAATTTGTCAATTACTTTATGTAGTTTTGAAAATGATGAAATTGAAATGACGGTCACATTTCCAAGACATCAGTCGGGTTCTGAGGATTTCAGGGACTATAAAGGCTCACAAGAAAAATACAGTTAAGAGACACTTAATTTTGGTTTCAGAAAGATTTTGGAACAAGTCTTTAATTGGAAATTGGCATTTTTTTCCCACTAATTTTAGGATCATAAAGTTTTTATGGCTCAATAATGTAACAGAGTCTGTTACCTGATGGTGTGAGAAATAAAAGACTGGAATGAGAGGAAAAAACACTCATGCAAAATCAAACATATAGAAATGCGTACTTTAACCTGCAAACACACTGATACTGTTTTGTGTGTATTTTAGTTTTGTACTCAATAATTAATAGAATTAAACTTGTTGCAGTGAAGTTTCCCTCATCATTTAACTTTAGAAGGTTAGCCTATTCATTCACATTTCTGTCTCATATCAGCAGAGACGAGTTCGTCCTGTTTGTTGTGTTTTGAGTTTATTTTTCGTTTCAATCAAACTGAATCTGTTTTTCTGATCATCTCTCAGCTATGGCAGGCCTCATCGTCCCGCCCATGTGAGGAGGATTCTCAGCCAGATACCGTCAGACCCCTCCCCCGACCCCCTGAGCGCTGATGGCCCCGCCCACCTGAAACGCCACAACAAGAACAGCAGCGAAAAATCCTTCCCGTCATCCCCCCAGACCGACCCAGAATCCATCACTGCAGCAGAAGAAAAAGTCTGACTCTTCATCGATTCATTCAGCGCCATCGTGTTCGATGTGGAACTTTAAATCAACGAGCAGCCGCTCCCTCAGAGGAGGTCAGAGGTCAGAGATGTGAACTGTGGGAGGGAGGGCAGGTGTCTGCAGTTACTACATGTTGTGTGAGTATTTGTTGTGCTGAGTTAGTTTGACTTCAGAAGTCTGTGGAGACTCAACAGGTCTCAGATCAGTTTGAACCACTGTGAGACAGGAAGGAGGCGTGTCCACCGGCAGCTTCTGATCACCACCACGACATCACCAAGAAAGGTTTAGATCTCATTGGATAATAAGCCAATCAGGTTTGATTTAAAGGGCCAGTGCTCTTGAACATTTTAGCCACTACGTACAAATCACAGGTGAACATTTATTTTTTCATTCCAGGTCTCCGTTGACTTTCATTTATTTCCATATAATAGGAATTATTAAGAAGACTCTAAAAAGTTGCACATCTTTTATAATCTATCACAGTCAAGTTGTCCGGTGGCGGACTTGTTCAAGCCTCCATCTTTCATTCCTTCAGCCACCCTCCTGAAAAGGTCGCAGTTGAGATAGTTGCACGTATTCAAAAATCTCTTGATATCCAAGTCTTTTATAAAGTTTAAAAGTAGGTGTGCATCACTTTTGAGCATACCTCTCTGACCCACAGCCCTGCAAACTGGCAATGCATGTAATTCATTCATTGTGCAAAATTAGAAAGAACATGTTGGCCGATGCTGATAGTTCATTTTAAAGCCAAAAGTGATGTTCACTGTGATAGATTACACAAGATAGACAAGTTTTAAGAGTCAACTTTAAAATTAACACGGTCAGTCTATTATATGGAAATGAGTCGACACTACGGAGGACCTGAATGGCCAAAAAATAAAACGATGTTTTTTTTAAAAAAATACAATCAAATGTGCAGACAACATTAAAATAAAAAGCAAAATGATATATACAGCAGTTGAAACTTACCACCTCACTGGTATGGTGCCTGAAATATTACAATGAATCATAATTTTTCTCTGCATGTTTTAGTTCATTTATTTCAAACTCTCCATCAGTCTTTGGATTGATATTCCCCCCCAACAAGCTTCTGTTGCTTTGAGTTTATTTCTATGAAAATGAACCTGCAGAAAGAAAATTGTTTCATCAACATTAAGTCAACTTTTACATTCCTTATTGTTGCATGACAAAAGTTCAGACTTCAACTCATTCTGCACTTTTTAAACAACATCAGGCAACAATGACTGACGTGATGGAAAATATTCGTCTCTGCAGATTAAAGTTCAGAACAAATGAAGATAAATTATCTTTATGGTTGTTCACAGGTGATGTCAGCATGTGGTCGCATAGTCAGTGAGCTTAAATGTGAAAAACAGCGGTGCAACCCTTTAAAGCTACAGTCAAATGTGTAACATGTGACTCTGGAGAAAGATCGTTGATTGTTGAGTCAGAGGACGTTGATTATGGACAAGTTGAGTTTGTAGTTGAACCAAACCACCGACCCAAAGCATCGATATTTGACAAGCAGGGAATGAGTCTCAGCAATCAACTATCTTTCTCCAGAGTTACATAGCAGCACTTTTAAGGTATTAAATGATTGAGCGCCCAAAATAACCATATTTTGGTTATAATATGTTTTATAAATTCCATGTTAAAATCTCTAAAACCTCTGATTGGTTGTGGCTGGATCAGAAGCTTTCGGTGGACTCTGAACCTGAGTTGGACCGAGTCCAGAAACCAGGAAAAATCAAACTCTTCAAACCTTTTTTTTTTTCTAATCTGGAAAAACCGTCAGACGGTTTCCAGATTTTCAATCAGAAAAACTAAAACTCCCCGAAGGACCAGACTCCTTAAAGACGTCTGATAAAGATCACGTCTTCTGGCATTTTCCTTTCTGTACCATAGCTTTTAACGATATTTGTGTCTCATAATCTGAAAAGGAGGAAAATGCAGTAATTTTCTAAGCTAAAGAAAGAATTAACAAACATCCTGCAGAGAAGAACAAATGTTACACTAACATTTGTCTGAATAAAGTCGAGGCAGCCCAATGTTTTGTTTTTGTTTTGTTTTATTTTTTAATAATTTTCAGTTTTTTTTGTTTCGGTCATTTGTCAATTTTAAAAATCCAGTACAATAGTTTCTGTTTCGCGGGTGTGTCGAGTGGTAGATTTTAACCAGAAAAAGCTTGCAGCAGTTTTAATCACATTTAGGTACCAGATTTTCTTGTTATTCTTCTGATTGTGCTTATTTTATATGTATTTATAAAAGTATGTTTTGGGGAGTTCCTTTTGTGATTTAGGCCTGAATGATAGTCTCAAATATATATGTAAACACATTTGATGTCTTAATACCTTTTAGATATTGTAAAAAGAGTGAACAAGTGAGAGGAATTAACCCTTTTGTAAAAACAAAAAAAAACGTCACGACATGGTCACCCTGTTTTTGAAAGCAGGACGTAAAAAAAAACGCTTTCATCACTTTTGTATAAAAATGCTTTTCCGATACGATATTTAACTTTTTGTAAACAGCATCATTTGTGTTTCCCCTGGTTCTTCTCGTCCTTTGTGTATTATTGTGAAATGTATAATCATGGTTATTTCTTAATGCACTATTTTTGTTGGGGCACTTAATAAGAGCAATGCATCTTAGCGAAAAAGAAAAAAAAAAAAAAGCTAAAAGTTACAAAAAAAAGATGAAAGCTAGAACGATATGCACCGATATGTTTTTTCTGCCGTTCTGAGACGGCAAAAATCCTTGTCATGTGAAATTTTTATATTTCAGAAGCTTATAACGTCATAATATTCCTCCACTCTTACTTTTGGACCGAGCGTATCTCTTGGTTTCGGTGTTTAGAAGACAATATTTTATCCATCTTAATATTAGACCCGATCCTCGTCTTTGTGTTTTTTGGTGAGAATGATTGTACGATTTAAAAACAGGCAGCAGATTTTAAAACCACTCCGAAAATGAGTTTTTGGGTCACTGATCTCAAGGAAACTTCCATCGATGTTGGTGTTGTTGTTGATGGTGCTGTTCTCGTCGTCGCACACAATCTGGATCATTTACTTATGCAACTGTGTTCCTGTTCTGTAATGCAAGCTCGTCTTCCACGCTGCCGTGGAAACGTTCGGAAAAATTAAAAGAACTAAAAGTCGTGTTTGATGCCTTACGATTGACAACACAAAGTCTTCTCTTTGTTTGACAAAGTTTTCATTCTGCAGGATTTATCGTAGATCGTTTTCATTTGGTTTTTAATTTGTTTGACGAGTCTCCAGTTAAACTGTGAGGACTTTTGTTTTGCACCAAACGTTTGTCCCTCAGGTTTCCCTAAAAAACATGAGGTTTGCATCATCAGCACTGACCTGAAACTGAAAAAGCTACGTTAGCAGTTAGCCTTCCAAACAGCCTTTCAAGCTAAAGCAGGATTTATACATGTTCGTCAGCTCTATGCAGAGCCTACGCCATAGCCTACACACCTGGCCTACACCGTTGTGAGCATTATACTTGTGTGGTGGTGTGTCTGTGTCACTCTGCAGTTACACCTCCAAAACACTAGTTGGCGGTGGTGTTTCTGTGAAGTGCTGTAAAATTTAGTTGATTCAAAACACACATTAAACATGGCAACAATTTCAAACACAAGTACACAAATTGGCCTCATTATAAGAAGCAGCATTCACAGACAAACACTTGTCTCTATCTGGACACATTTTCCCCACAAATACAACATGCTAACGTTATTAGCACAAGCCTATGGCATTTTACATTGTATAAATTAGCCTAGCAGCTAGCGGACTTTTCCTCTACTCAGATGAAGCCAGGATAAATCACACACAAGACTTAAAATGATATTTTGTGGAGGTTTTATTGTCTTCACAATTTATTGTTTCTTATCTGACAGGAGGTCTGCTTCACCACAACGTGTAGTTACATCTCTGGGAACGTGCATGTCAGGCTCCTGCGTAGGCTCTGCATCAATGTCAATTCGACGCAGAAGTGTAAATCCTGCTTAAAACTCCTTGATTCTGTTGTTGTGTCATATAGCATTTACAAATCACACAGGAAGGTACCACAACACAATCTGGGACATCACTATAGAAGCGCACCTTGTTCAGGAAAGAGAAAAAGTTATCTGGAGTTACCTTGTAATTATACTGTCAGCAGCATGTAATTATAATTTAACATTTCTGAATCGTAAGAAATTACAATAAAACCATTTCATATGACAAGATTTGTGTGTAAAAGTACATGAAAACCCATTATGACATCATCTATGGAAAAAAAATATCAGAATTTCAAATTTATGAGGGAATAATCCCATATTTACAAGATTGGTATCTCTATCTCAGAATTACGAGATCTGTGTCCCACCTCTAAGACAAAACCATCGCACATATCTGACACTTGAATCACAATTCTGACAGTTAAATGTTTTGTACAATAAGTTGAGGTCAAAACTCTCCGACAGTATGCATGTCTCAGGATCACAATCAGGAGGAGACTCTCTTAACGTAATTATGAAATCAGAATCTTACAGTTACGAAACCCATCTCATGAATTCTAGAGAAAATGTTCTGATATTTACAAGATCCATATTTCATCATTATGAGAAAACAGTCTCATAATTTTGAGACATGGATCTTAAATTCAGAATATACAGATCTCATGAGGAAAGTTATAAAACAACATCTCAGTTTTCAGCGTTGACTTTAACGACTGTCGTAGAAACAGTTTTTCCAAACTTTGTGCTGAAAGAAACAAGACCCATCTCACATCCCTTTAACTCCTGAAAAATAAAACCACATGAATCTCTAAACTCTCTGAGTGGAGGGCAGGAATCTGGAGTTTGGACGGATTAAACTTTTGACTTTATGCAAATCCAGTAGGACTGACAGAAACCTTCAGTCACTGCACAACATCAGCCAGACGCCATCGTGTTGGCCTGTGGTTGAACATCTGTCCAGTGTCTTTAGGAAAAGCCATTTTTTTCAATTACACTAATGAAACGCAGCCGGTGAACAGTCACACCTCGCACTGAACGTTTCACTTCAACATGAGCGTCAGTCTCCACGTTTCAAACAGCTTGCTATAATACTGTTTTGGGTTTTTTTTGGTCACAGTTGTAGAAAGTTTGCTTCTCACCATCCTGGTTTTCAGCCGAGGTTTTAAAACTGCAAAGTATACTTTTTTCGATGTTTTACTTCAATGTGAAAGAGGGCAGAGGTACTGCATCTTTGTGAAATATGAAATATATCATCAAAGTATATCAAAGCACAATGTTTAATTAATGTCTTTAGAATACAAACGGGGGGGCGACACCCCCGGCTTTTTTCTTTTCTTGTCTCTGGCCATGCTGTAAATAGATGCATGTTTTTTTTTTTGTTTTTTTCCCTGTGATCCAGTGCTTTTTGTACAGAAACAGTCTAATAAAGATTACATTTGGCTTGAACTCTCAGCTGTCCAGTGTTTTCATGATTCTGAAGAAAATCTAAAGGTCAGCAAATAAAAATGGTAACTGATTGTGTGTTTCATGTTTGATTGCAGTTGTGTTCTGTTTTCCAGGCCTGGAAATGATCTGGAATGTTTTGGGAAAGTTTTGGATATACATTGTTTGGCTAAAACGTTTAATTTTATACAGTGTTAAGTTAAAATTCTAGTGCTGCGCTGTATGACCCTTGAAACGTCACATGATACACATGAGCATATGCCAGTGGCGTAGGAGAGATAGGATGGGCCCCAGTGTACGCCATGGTGCACATATCGTCTCATCACATGATCAGAGACTTGACATTGGAAAACATCAACACACATATTTCCCAGGAATCATCATGTCATATCTGTACATGACGAAAAATACCAAAGAAAATAAGACATTAAGAAATTATTAATGTAATTTATCAGTTTTAATAGTTGATTTATAGTTATAGAATTAGCATTTAATTTTGTTATAGATGACTATTTTACAAAAAAAGAAAGAAAAAGAAACATGACAGAGATGGGTTTGCCTTTTTTTTTGGCATATACAGCAAATGGCACTTTTTTAATTTAATGAGAGTTCTTCTTTGACAGAAAGTGGCCATCTTGAGAAGATTTTAAGAAGGTGACTTTCTGTTGTGTCAGAAGCTAAGGGGAAGTGGGAAGACAGAAGGAGAGACAGAGAGATGTCTTTTCCATGTTGAATAATTCCGAAAATGTTTTAAATAATGTCAAAAAGTTATTGGGCCTCATGGAAGAAACACCTACAATCAGATTTGTTCTTAAATGGTAGATACAAGATATTTAAGAGAATCTCTTTCTCTTTCATATCAGACATTTCTATGAGGATATATAACCAAAGAAAGGGGCTTTAGAAAGTTTAACACAAACAGAGAATCAGTGGAGGAATATGAAAGGAGTTTGTGTTATTGGGCTGAAACAAGACTGTTTTCAAGAGTAAAAGTTGGAGGTGAAAAATACAGAAAGGCTCCAAATTAGTCGAGTGAAGAACCCGTAAACTGCCTGAAGGACGCTGGAAGTTTAAAAAAACTCAAGATAAAAGGTAAAACAATCCTCATCCTATACTACAAAAAAGTTTCGAGACTTTTCCAACATCAGCAGAAATATTCTCAGAAAGAACTCCATACGTTACAATTAATATTGAAATTGTTGGTGGGGGATCGTGAAGAAGGAGCTCTGACTGACATTTGGAGTCGAACTGGTGTGGTCAGCCCAGAGCCAAAACAAGAAGCCTTCAGTCAGAGTGAGAGCTCTGTGGCAGGTAAACACATCAGCCGAGACGAGGAGAAAAGTACGAGATAAGGTGGGTTCAAAGTACGCGACAAAAAAGTCATAGTATAATACCTCATGAAAAAGGAAAAAACTAGAACTATACTATGACGTTTTTTCATAATTTTTGACGACATACTATACTATGATGTTTTTTCATGATTTCTCGACGACATACTATACTATGACGTTTTTTCATGATTTTTAACGACATACTATACAATGACATTTTTTCATGATTTTTAATGACATACTATACTATGATGTTTTTTCATGGTTTTGGACAACATACTATACTATG